AACTGGTTCATCATATAATGAAGTGTTTTTAACTTCCACTTTAATTCTTGAATCAAATACAATTGCATCCTTTCAATTATATACTTTGATCAAAGTTTTGGCAAAGATCTGTAGCTAGGTGACATCATCAGTGGAGCCTCTGATGAAGCTATGTTATTCTGCTCCACTTGGAATTTATACTGTTTGGTCTGTTATGGTGAGTAGTGTCACTTCCGGTTTTGATCTGTGTGGGTTTGTATATGGGGTCCAATTTTATATGTTTGTTGATTGTATTACGGGTGGAGAACCATGCCTCTAGGAATTCCCATGCGTGTCCAACATGGTTTACAAAATACCATGCAACGACTGTCAGAAACATTACATCAGGCAGACAGGAAGGAAACTAGCCATTAGAATACATGAACATTAGCTAGCAGCAAAATGGCACAACGAACTCTCCGTGGCATTGGTATACTCAGGCAATGAAGACCATCAGTTTAATTGGGACAAGATAATCATAGTAGCCCAAGCCAAACATAAACACACATGGTGACGACACGTCTGAACGAGAACAAGCCAGCTCAGTGAGCAAGTCAACAACCTGTATACTTTGATGGCCATTCACCGGTTTTATATAATGCAGTATTAATCTAGGATAAGAGTTGCTTGAATAAATCTAGATGTATATTGCCATGTATTAATTAAATTCTTCATTCACAAATTGGCATCAAAGGGATGATTTATGTAAAGTTATGGAGGGTCAGCTGGAGTGGGTCAGTGTTATTGCTAAGGACTAGATACTTCATGTAAAATGGAGAACAACAGTAACGGCTATGGGCACTTTTCCTTTCTGAAGATGTTTAAAGCGTCATCGTTTAAAGAACTGAAAGTTGGATAAGTTTAGCATTTTTCAATAAACTTGAATGTTTTGCATTGATAACAGAAGTGTCCGCAGTATAACAGAGTTTTGCAGTCCTGGATTAATCTCACTTCCTTAATCTGTGATAGGGAGTTCTCTGTTTCAGTTCCATGGAAGCACCAATCATACATGTTATCCATTTTCCACAGGAGGATGTGGAACCACTGGTTAATTTTTTTTTTCCTTCAGATGTGGCCGATGCTGTCAAAACAAGTTTAATTGACAGTTTCCACATACCTTGAGAAAATGCTGGACTTTCTGCTTTAAGCACGTTGAAGTCCTTGTGCTCCTACATGGTGTTAGGCAGTAAAATCAGGTATTGACTCCGTGATGGTGACAGAGCAGTGATGTGTGTCCAAGGCAGAGTAGTGTGTTATTTGGAATGAGCGGTGTTTGATGATCTTTTTGCTCTTGCCTTTCGCATTGGTGCAGAGCTAGAAGTTTGGAGCTGGTGACACAGAAAACATAGAGGGCTGAATTTTCCTGGCCCTGCGGTGGCAGAACCCAGAGAGCCATGAAAATAGATCATGATGGAATGGGATGTGTCCTTGATTTGCTCTCACCAGCGGGTCATATTTGCAGCTGTGAATGAGATTGGATCAGTTAGCGGGTCTTCAAAATCACTGAGCAGCAGCCCTCCTCCAATCACTATTATCTTCCCAACGCCCTTAACCTCCCACATGTAGAGGCCACCAGTCAATGGAAGTAGCATCCCTGCAGCATTCCACAGGAAGCCATCAGACCCTCGGGCATCGGAAAAACTGCTGCACTAAAAAATCATAACTCTGGCAGTGCTACTTATTTAAGGAGCTTTCTCCCATCTGCCTGCTATTCCTCACACTCTCAATCCCACTTATGTCGCTCAGTTGTGGCCAGTGATCGGGAATGGAGGACACCTCTTCTTAAATGCTTCCAGCTCAAAGAGCTGCTGCAGTATGTTCTGTGAATTATACATATTGCAGCCACAGTGGTGCTGGATGAAGTGAATTTTGAGCCAGTGTCTGGGAAACAGCATTAAACTGACTGGCCCAGTTAAACTCTGACCAGTAATGTTACTAGTGGGACATTTGGTGAAGATGATACCGTAGAAGATCACGAAAGTTGCTTGTGATTTTTTGTTTTCTTTTTCAAAGTGGTTCCTGATATATATTAATAATCAGGATCTTGGTGTTCCTGCTCTTAAAAAGAATAAGAATGAGGGGGTACAGATTTGAAGTGATGTACAAAAGATGCAAGTGTAATGTAAGAAAAAACCTTTTCACACAGCAAGTAGTTAGGGCATGGAATGCACTGTTTGGAAATGTGATGGAGGCAGGTTCAATGCAGACAATTAAGAGAAAATTGGATGATCATTTGGATATAAATAGTATGCAGGGATGTGGGGCAAAAGCAGGAGATTGGCATGAGATAATGATGCTCATTTGAAGAGTAGGTGCAGGAGGCACGATGGGCCAAATGGCCTCCTTCTGCGCCATACTGATTCTGAGATTCTGTGACTGACTGTGGGAGTGTCCCTGACTGACTGTCATCACCCTTCATCCCACTAAGAACTGCTCCAGTTTGACTTTCACATTGCACTTACCTGAAGCACATATAAACTGCTGGCAGATGCCGCAGATCTGACACTGACGTAGCTGTGCCACACAGTGATAAGTCCATCCCAGATCTGACTGGTAGATTGACTGTTCGGTGTTCCCTAATGTAACAAATTCCCTCTGTTCTAAAAGGCAATACAATCCGCAGGGGATGGCAGCTGGTAATTGAACACTGAAGACCTTGTGCTCTTAAGAAAGTGATGTGACTCATAGAGTAGTTGGCAGCCTGTAAAATCAGTGCTGAAGCCAGTGAGTGCATGCTAAGAAAGCAATGTCCAGTCGACAGAGGCTGCAAGTAAGTACAAGTGAACGAGTCCTAAGAAATCAAGCTGAGAGCTGTAAGATGCATCCTATAGTGATGTATGTGTGTATGCTCTTGGATGCAAAGCAACTTGACAGAACCTTGCAAGTCATAGGTGCCCTTGAGCTTCAAAAGTAAATTGTTGAAGGGGTGAAGTGTCTGAGTTGGCCTGAGACCAGGCATGGTGATGTGACAGGGACGTTGTTCTGATGAAGCAGGAGCATGATGCTGGGAAAAGAATTCAGAGAGCTGCAACCGCCAGTTACACCCACTGATTTACATGTTGGGAAGTAGTCCCATTGAGTTTCTGAGTAAAGAAAAGGAGAATTTGAAATGGCACATAGTAGGGCCAGTTGGTGCTTTAATAAGATGTAAGTGCCTGGAAATAAGATATGCGGCATAAAAGAGTAAGAATCTGAACTTATCATTCAAGCCATGAGGGAAAACCTTTGTCTCAATGCTAGGAAACAATTTTTTTTTTCTCATTCTTACCATGTCTCTTCACCTTTCTGGCCTTTAATCTCGCCACACCAGGGAGGGGGAAATTCCAGTCAT